GGCTCACTCGATGGGACCCGACCATTAAATTCAGGTTTAGCGAGGCCATAATCCTCGCAAGAGGTGACAACCGCGAGCTGCTCGAGTCACGGTTCTCAGGCTCCCAGTCCAACAACAAACACAACGATTTGCCGTTCCTTACTGCGTACTGAGACTGCCTGAGCAAGAGCATCAGTCATGTGGGAAGGACCGGGCGCAGCAACAACTCTGAAGACAGCGAGCATAATTGTCGCGTTATTATCAAGCCCGCATCCGATACGGGGTAGCGTGCTAGGAATAGGAGTATAGAGTGCTGATATACGGAGGTACGACAGGACATATTTCGGAAGCTTGGTTCACGAAGACTTCGCAAACATTAGCTCAGAGTGAAGTGGATGAGCAACTTCATCAAAAATGCGATCAGCAAATTGCTTGACCGTTTTAAGGTGTCGCTGCATTATAGTATCATCTAGAAAACATGGAAAACACTGGCAGCTGAAGAGGGCATTCAGAGGATACGTTTAAAAATAACCAGGTCTTGTTTAAATAAGGCTGGAAAAATAACTGGAGAGCAGTAAAGCATGAGGGGGAGAATGCAGGCATCTATAAATCACCAGGCTTAGGTGGACGCAAGACGGCATGGGCATGTGGCCGCGCTGAAGATCGCAAAGACGAATCGACAAAAGCTTAGACTGAATGCAGCATTCCCGACGCTTGCACCAAGAACGTAGGCTGTCGCCCCCGTAGAGGCTCTACCGGCACATCCGCTAGTTCCCAATACAGTAGCTTCATTACTGCTGGCTGACTGGCTAGTAGCCCTTGTTGGATCAGGAGCCCCTCCGGGCAGTGAGCGCTTTCAGACGCACTGACCTGCAGACACTTGACCGACTTCCACTCGGGGATACACGTATGTCTAGGTAGTCGCGGCTACTCAGGCCCCATATGAACATGCCCTTTCCTCCACAGACACGACACTCCTCGAGTTAAGTCACACTCACCAACTAGAGGAACCTTGAACCTACTAGGTAATCCCATTAAAACAGCTACCACCACTGTCTCATTTTCTCTCAGGTCTGGCTGGACGCAGCCAACACTAGCCGTGGCTTCGCCAGCGGCTACTGCGGTCTGAGACGGCAACTGAGAGTTTTGTGCGCAAAAGATACCTCCCACAGTTGCCTTCTGTCTTTTACCTCCAACCTGGGATTTGGCCTGAAGTGTCTATTGATCGGAGTCAAACATTATTTAGACGCTACTTAGACCCCACAGTGGCCATCGTCAGTACGGCCACAGGAAAGATAGTCGGTTAGTAAGTAAACTCATGTTGTCACCGCTAGCGCTACTTGGAACCCATGATCAGTCGCAGGTGAATACCCCACTGCTGCTGCTGATGTCACGTCCCTCGGACGAGGCACAAACGTGCGCACCTTGCCTTGTCCCCTTTCCTGGCCTAAACCCACGATGGCTTGACCTCAAACCATCCGCGTAAGTAGACTGGCCTCATTTAGTAGGTTGGCCTCAATCCGTGGGACACAGACCTCAATGTGGTGACTGCGGCTACGCCGCTCTAGCGGAAGGACGTGTGCACCGACAGTAAAAGGTCCTGCAACCTATTATTCAATCCTTCTGCAGAACAAACTCCTCCTACCATTCTGACCTTCGCATGACTTCTCTCTTCTCCTAAGGAACCGGGCCTGAAAGAACGCAGCCGTTAGGGTTAACCTTCTTAGGTTTAACGCCTCCTCGATAACTGGTGACCCACGACGTGAGATAAACTCTCATCTTCTGATGAGGCCGAACTCCATCATCATCGAGTCTCCCTCGCCTTCAATTGAATTCGTCCTGTGTCATCTTATGTCACCGCGAAATGGAGAATTTCATTACCGACATCCTGTCGTGAAGCGATATGGAGAGACTAAACCGCCCACAGCCCATCGAATCCAGGCTATGGTTCCTTGCCTATCACGCGGAGCAGTCCTCGTTATGAGTTCCAGCATCCAGACCTCCCTTCCAAACTCAGATCCTACTTCTACTGCCAACGGTATCCCTCCTCCCTCACACAGTGTCGGGATTACCAATCTCCTACCAACACGCCGATACATGCGCAGTCGAGAACTTTCCTCCTACCAACATGCAGACTCAGTGGCTCACTTAGTCGA